ATAATGAATCCAGCTGCCATGAGAGCTACTGTCAAGAGAATGTGAAAGATTCAGAGAGACTGATGAAGGCCTAGTCTTGACTGTGGTACAGATGCAAGCTGGAGTCTCATCTGCTTGGAACCAGGAGTACCAGCCTGGAGATGCATGAATACAGCTAGTGTTGTGCATGTTTGTGTGATCATTATCGAACACAAAATCTGATGTCAATTTTGTAGTGTTAATATTTATAACTAAGTAATGGATTAGACTGTGGCATTTTTGTACAAACTCGACATCATGCTTTGCTCACTTTACCTCTCATTACTCTACAGAGTCACATTTCCCACCTCTTTCTGGTCACCTCCCTCCCTCAAAGAGTCTCCCATTTGCTTTTGTGTCATGCATCATACACCTACACCTACACGTATGTATTTAGATTCTGCATATGACAGAATACAAGCACTGATTCTTACTCTCCCTCCTTTACTAGCTTTATATTTTAACGTGTGTAGAATTGCACATGCATGTGTATCTGTGTGCATCTGTTAGATGGGGGTTGAAGTCAGTTGTCTTCTTCATTAGCTTCTCCACCTTGCCCGTTGAGACAAAAATCTCTCACAGAACCAGGATCACCAGTCTGGCTAGGCTGGCTGGTCAATGACCCTCTACGTTTTGGCTTTCTCCCCCTCATGACTGTGCTGGGGTTACAGACACATACTGATTGCCCTGTGGGCTCCCGCCAGCTTTGCATCAGTGTGGAGTTGAGCAGGACCTGCTGGCAATATGGATGAGTCCCTCCTGACCATGCTTGTTACCAGGACCACTGTGCCTCAGACAGAGAGACACACCAGAGCCTCCACAAAGCTCAAAGCAGAATCGAAATGCATTCATGAATCACAAAGCTCCTTATCAGTTTTGAGGCACAGTGTGAGGAACATACATTTCTTGTGAATGAGGTAGCTAACTCTTACGTGCCAGTGACTTGCTTTGAATAGGTCGGCCAAGCATGAAAAGGGTCTTGATGATAGCCAGGCTTCAGGATGCATTTACACTATGATTTTCTGCATGGCAGTGATAGGCTTCTGTTCCTTTGGTGGGTTCCTGTAATTTACTGAACCATGTCCACAAACAAACTCATAGTAGATTCCTGAGCTCTGAATGTGTAGCATGCACTTGAGTCTTTTATTTTACCAACTAGAAGGAGAGAATGACTTATTTCTGCTGTTGTCATTGATTTCTCCCATTGCTTTGCTGAACCAAAGCAATTTAGCTCAAGCCGACAAGAAACAAGGGATGGTTTTTTACATCATTTCCCTTGTTAATATTCTGTACATACAACAGCCACATGAGATTCAAGAACCACGTAGTATGGCTCATATTAATCCATCTTCATTCTTCCCATGGTCTGTCTTAGTCAGTGTTCTATTGCTGTGAAGAGACACCAAGACCAGGGCAGATTATATAAAGAAAAGCATTTAATTGGGCCTGGCTTACAGTTTCAGAGGGTTAGTCCATTATCATGGAGTGAAGCATGGCTGCATGCAGACAGACATGATGTTGGAGGAGCTGAGAGTTCTACATCTGGATTCACAGGCTGCAGGAAGAAAGAGACCCTGGGCCTGACTTAAGCATTTGAAACCCCAAAAGCACACCCCCAGTGACATACTTCCTCCAGTAAGGCTACACCCCCTAATCCCTGTCTATAGTATGACTCCCTAATGACCAAGCATTCAAACATAGGAGCCTGTGGAGGCCATTTCTATTCAAACCACCACATGGTCTTTCTTATTTCCTGTCATTTTTGCTATGAAACAGATAAATCTTCCCCCAAATACTCAACTTTTACTTGGCGTAAAAGCATTGGTCCTTAACATTTTTAATGGCTGTCACTCTCTTGGGGTCACCTTTTGACACCATTTCTGTCATTCCCTAATACAGAGAATGGTTTAGAAGTTACCCTGCCAAATGCATAGCACTTGTTCCTGAAGGACTGTGGCGAAAGGGGGAGGAGATGACTCCTGTCCTTTGATTATTCACCTTTGTGAAGTAAAGGGACTGTGATAGGATTCCATAGAGACTGCTAATAAGAATTTAGATTAGAACTTACAAGGAGTGAAGTTGCAAATACAGATCTGGAGCTTTAAGATGCCCTACTTCTTCTATCTAGGGAATCATCACCTAATAAGCTATACTCAAAAATTTTAATTGATTTGTGAGCAAAATCAACAAACATTGATGACAGAAATCCAAATGAACAACTATAAATGAAGAACTGTTAAAAATGGACTATTTCCTATCAGGGAATACTACTTGGACATGCTTGAAGGTTTATACAAGAATCACAGAAAGTACATTCAAGAGATTTTTAAAGATTTCTTTATTTTTATTCTATGTCTACATGTATGTCTGTGAGCCAAGTATGTGCCTGGTGCCCACAGAGGTCAGAAGAGGACATCAAATTCCCTGAAACTGGAGTTTTGTATGGGTACTGGGAACATAACTCAGGTTCACCACAAGAGCAGCAAATACTATAAACACGGAGCCATCTCTCTAGGACTCAAAAATTTTCACTGCACTCCTAATAAAAACATAGATATGGCCTTTAAAATGCTTTTAAAAATTTAAAGAGACACATAGAACAATCTTGAAAACATTTCTTTTAAAAAATTTTTGTAATACCAGTTCTTTGAAGATACAGATTTATTCCTTCCACCATTATATATGAGACTCTCAAGCTGCGTCTGATACATGGGGGAGATGACATGTGCATATCTATTTCTCACCAAATGAATGAATGTTTGTGAGGCAGTTGTAGTGAAGTGGGATCTCAGAGGCCATCATCTCACATGATATTCCCAGTATCCCTCCATGATGATTCAGGTTTTATTCTTGCCAATAAACACAGGTGACTGATTTCCCCAAAACAGGGCTGATGTATGTCAGGCAGAGACATGAAGCAGGGCTATAAGGTGGCACTTGCTTTTTAATATGTTCTTAACAAAAGTCTTGACGTTTCTGCATGAAGAAAGTGGCCTAGGATGTGTTGTTACATGGCTCATAATAATTCCTCCCCAGTCTTCCTATTTCCTTTGTCTTTCATATTGGTAGCTGTAGTTTGACTTTCTTTTTGGACCACTATTGCACAAACAATGACAAGGAGACGTATTATTAATTATGAAAGCTTGGTGTCTAGCTAGGTTTGTTTTTAACTAGCTCTTAAGACTTATTTAACCCATTTAAAAAAAAAATCTTCGTTCTGCCATGTGGCTTGTTACCACATCTCTGAAATGCACATACTGCTATTCACTGCATCTCCCTGGTGAATTATGCTTGCCAAAATCCCTCTTCCTTTTCCTCTCCCTCCTGGGGAATACTGCCTATTCTCTCCTGCCTAACTATTGGCCATTCAGCTCTTTGTTATGCCAATCATAGCAATACATCTTCACATAGTGGACAAAGATACCATAACAGGTAGTTTTATACTTTGCAGTAATTCCCTAGGTTCTTGGAGACAAAACCATAATAATGATGCAGCTTATAATCATGATTCATTGCAATAGCAGGTGTTTGAAATCTTAACTGGTTTGTTAGAAGGTCTCAGGACTTTAGAAACACTTTCTAACATATTGCAAATACAATGGTATCTCTAATTTAACAGTGCAAACTTTTACACAGCTCCAAACACCTTGTTTCTGTATCTGGATTGTGAGCACTATACTCTATCCTGAAAGGAAGACGGTTTGCAAACCCAGAGAGCTAAAACATTAATGTGTAGCTGTGATGCATGTATGTCTCTATACTGTCTACACAAACCTATATTACATTTAAAATGTCTGGAGCAGGGATGTCCCTTAGGTATTACTGAAGGGATAGAGTAGATATTCCTCCAGCAGGTAGCCTTTTCTCTCACATGTCTCACAGTTGCTCATTTCCTGGCAAACATGCCTGCATCATAGACTCAGTCCAGGATGGGGATCATAGGGTTTGAGTTAACGTTTGACATGTTATGCCACTTGGTTCTGTTTAGTGTGAACTACGGTGCCCTACTATTGCACATCAGTGTCTAGAACCTCCTGGCTCGTAATGCTTTGGTAGAGTGGCTACCACATGACTATAAGAAAGCACTTGTCTCTACCAAGTGAAGTTCTGCCCTAAGTCAAGTGGGGACCCTATACTCATACCAAACTTTGTCATATGATCACTTTGAAAGACTATTGAAATGAAACTGGCTTTATTCACAATTAATTCAGGCCTCTCCACTAAAGGCGAGGAAGCAATGTTAACCTTCCAAATGTGACCCACTGTATTCTCATATCAATAGAAAAGTATGGAGCTATTTGGCACAAATCCTAGGGTTTACAGGATCTAGTATAAGGCAAGTCAATACCTTCCCTTTGTTTCACTCAACTCTGTATTACCCTTTCGCTAAAGCTCCCTTGGACTTCATGCTATATGGCCCCATAGTTCTCCTATAAAGAGATGCCTGAACGTATTAGCAGTTGGCAAGGTCCAGACTAGAGGCACTTTGGGACTGTTCATTTCCAGTTGAAGGGACTGTGAGAAGTACTGGATGTACACAAGGCTACTGAGGCCTCCCATCAAGAAGAAGCCTGATTTACTCCAAAGAGAGGCCAGCCTGTTGTACATGATTTATAAGCAGGACCTCAAAGCAATATTTGACATTCCAATTAGAGGCAACCAGCATGGTAAGAAGTGTGTTTAGCTATACACATAGGCAGGCTTGGTTTATTTTTGCCTATGCTCATAGATATATAGTACCTATCTTATGGATACCCTCCAGCTCTTGTTTGTGTGTGTGCACACAGATGTGCACACGCGTGTGCGCGCACACGCGTGCGCGCACACACACACACACACACACAGAGAGAGAGAGAGAGAGAACCTAACAAAAGCAAAGAACTTGTGTGTTGATCTTGGCCAATTGCAACGAAACTGGCTTCCCTTTCATAGATTAGTACCTTGATGCTACTTTCTTTCTCTCTCTTTCTTTTAAATTGCAGCAGAATCAAAGAAGAAGAAAAAGGAAGGCAAGAAACAGGAGAAGATGCTGGATTAGAAGATGCCAACTTCTGTAGACCAGGAAAAGAACATCAGCACAGAGGATCAGTTAACAATTACATTTATACCCACTGTAGGCTTTTTATTCAACAGTTATCTGTAGCTTAAGTACATGATAGGAAAAACAGAAAAGAATTTTTTTTGTAGTAGCATTTTTTTTAATGTATACCTTAGAACCTCTAGGGGCTTATAATAAAGGACTGTAATACTGTTTAGGAAGTTTAGCTATAGTACATGATAGGTGGTAGGCAATCGAGGTAAGTTTTTTTGAAGTTATGTGATGTTTCACAGTTAAATCTTTTTTCTTTAATTTTTTTTTTTTACAGTTCCCCCCCTTGGGCAGCAATTTAAATGTTACAACCATGTAAACTACTTCTCTTGCTAGATAGATTTTCACCTAGACTTTTTTTCTTCCCAACTGAGAAAAATATATACTAAACAAAGCAGCAATAAAATATAATCATTCTATTGGAGAGAAATACATTGCTTTCTGCCAGTGGATGTTTTCTTTCAAAATCAGCAAATTGGGAGAAGGAGAAAGGCGAAACAGTGATGTACAATGTTGATTTTTTTTTTTTTTAAGAAAAGCATTAAAACATGAAACTTTCACTTTGGCAGAAATGTTTGTTTTCTTGATGAAATTATTTTTCCATCTGAGAAAAAAAAATCTAGGAAAATAAATCAAAGTGATGCTGAATAAAAGGTGCTTTGTGTGCAATAATTTCATATTGTAACTCTAGTTTTGTCAACATACTATGAAAGTCTATCATGCAAGCTAGTTCATGGATACAAGTGTTAATCAAGTGTTTTTCCTTCTTTTTCTTCTCTTTTGTGTTTTGGTAAGTTGTACAGCCTGAACACCCTAAATACCAAATATGACATGTGCCAAATCTCCAACAGTTTTGTGCACAGACCTGACCTCACACATGGAAATTCCACTCTTGGTACCAGGGAAGACTCAGAGTCAAAGCGCGGGCACACAGAAATATTGCATAAACTCAACCTGGGATTGTGTGTGCAAGGTGTATAACAAACCAAGTCAATGTTTAGCATCAGATCCCATTCCTGAGATACCTCATTGTGTGTAGACAAATTATAAAGTTTTTTAAAAAAATCAAACCCTGTATACCTCATTCCAAATATTTGAGGAAAAAGACTCTTGACTGGATCATTATTGAGTAATTCATTATTGAATTCCAACAAATCTCAATAAAGCTTCAAATTAGTCTACTGTTTAATGCAAGAGAAGAAGGTTCATCTATTGAATAAGTTTGGGCTAGTATGTTACAAAACATATTAAGACCACAGGGACAATAAGCAAACTGACAATTTATACTTAGTTTCCAGAAACCAAGGATTTGCACAAATGCAGAAGACTTTGAGAGCCCCCTCCTCTGCTGACATTAAACTGCAGTTGTGAATAAGCAAGCCCATGCTTCTCCCTTTCAGAGAAACAAAGTCTCGTGAAAGTTGCTGAGTATGGTACAGTCTTGACAGAGCCATCACTGGTCCTAAGATAATCATGTTTGATGAGCAAGTATCTATTTCCCAAGATATTTACAACCCAATTGTCAGAGATGGTAACTCTACACATCATGGGTGGCCACAAAGTAGCTAATTACATGTGCCCGTGACCTGCAGTCCAAGGTATCCACAGCTAAACTGTGTAGGCCATCTTGTCCAAGACTCACCCTGGGCTAGAAATGCTGAAAAGTCCATTCCAGCCCCAAGTCAATGCCAGGTGCTAGTGGGTAATTTAAAAAAGGATAAACTTACAGGCATCATATGTATCAGTGCTTAACAAAATCAGAGTACCTTGTAAAGTGCAACCAACAGAAGCATGGATAGCAAATGTGGTCCTTTTATGTTCTGACTTTAATAGGAAGAGGTACTCATGGGAATGGATGGAAAGGGGGATAGAAAGGCGGTGTCTCAAGTGGAGTTTCACAGCATATTACAAAAGGGTGGTATGATGAAAGTCTGTGGCAAATTTCGTAAGCAAAGCAATATGCTGTGAATCAATAATGGATTAAGGTGAACTAGAACAGAATCTCCCAAGGGAACGGCAGCAGCCCTTTGAATAACCGTGATGTGCTCCTTTAGTCACAGGACAAGGCAGGAATCCAAGCAGGCAGGCCTCTCTACCATGTCAAACAGGACTCTCTGGATAACTATATAACAGCTCTCAATTCACTATAAAAACAGGGTTGCAATCCCAATAATCCTCACCTGGCGTGACATTCAACTCTCCTTAAGTCCTGAGAACTTCAAACATCTTGTGAAGATGTCAAGTGCACAGAAACATTGAGTTGGTGTGGGAAACACTTCACCAAATCATAGGTGCTCACACATAGGGAAGTAACATATTGCCGTTCACTGCGTACAGCACCAAGAAAGTGCCCTCTCCTCGAGAGCCCCTGTTTTCATCAATGGTGTTGCAAAGTTCACTGTTACTGATATACGGGAAGGCAACTTCATTTCCTCAAAGCAGCCTGGCCTAAGCCCTGATAAAAATACAACTTCCTATGGAACAGAGAGGTTCCCTGCTCATTATGCTGTACAGATCCTCCAACTTTCCAGGTGATCCAGAAGGCTTGATACTGTTACCCCCAGGGGTGAAGAGAATCATTGTAAAAACATGGGATTACCCAGTCCCTGAATGGCTTTATGTATTGTTATATCTATTGAAGGAACATAACAGAAAATTTGTCTCTGAGTATTTTCCAAGGAAAGATTAGTAAAATAGGTAGATGGAGAGGTATGGTCTTCAGCTGTACCTTTAGAATTAAGTTCTTGGCATCTATTAGATTCTTTCTGTTTCTGTCTCTATCTATTTGTGTCTCTCTCTGTGGTTTTCCCACCATTCCTCCTCCTTTCTTCTCTCTTCATGCATAGGAGAAACAAATGCTCTTTGGTTTCAATATGACCCTGTGTGAAATGCCCTCTTGATACCCTGCTCCTCTGAGCATGCCAGTTGTTGTGTGATAAGCCTTTGGCTGAAACATACGGGATGTTTTCAGACTCAGGTTACTCTGAGTCTTCTATTGGGGGCTTACCTTGAATTTGCCACAATAATCTTTCTGGCATGTACATCTCCAAGTTTCACTGGATCTACCTAGTCACAACAAGTATGGAATCTGCTTATAGCAAGGCTTCAGCTTTCCATGGGGAAACTATTTGAAACTTCACTGAAGATACAGGTAAATGGGTGAGATCGGTATCTCCAAGTGCTGCACACGTTGACATTAAAACACAATGAGACTGCAACATATCAAGCTACCTTTCTGATGTCAGGGATATGAACATCTAATTTATTATTTACTATAAGGGGAATGTTGTCACAAACCCCAGGTCTTGAGGGCTCATGAAAGTTAACTGTGAAAAATGAACCTAAACTTGAACATAAGAACATATGAAAATTATTCATACATTGTCAGTTTCACTCACAAGAACTGTGTTACCAGAAGAAATGCAGACATTTTCATTTTCAGGGGCTCAGAATTATTGGGCAATTTTAAAATTGCCAGTATCACAAATTGAATATTATATCTAAGTGTGTAGTACTGGACATCATTCTAGAAGTAAGGAAAAACATCACGGCAATCAAGTAAAGGGGATAGATAGATATGCTATTATCTATTTATCTATCATCTATCTATCTACCTAACTATCATCTATCTATCTATCTATCATCTATCATGGTGCTCACCAAGTCAAGGAACTTCTACCTAATGATATTGAATTAGTATTACTCAAAAATACTCTTTGAAAAGAACACAGACAGTTTGTGTATGAGGAGGTCATATCAGTGAAACATTGAGAGTTCATATAGTAAGCAATAAATATTTACAAAAGAATTATCTAATTTGTCCTACTGAGGAAAACTCTAGCTCTCTTAACCTTGGGCACATGTGATGACTAAGGTCTATTGAGTGCTGTCAGGCTGCCCTTGTTTCTCACGAACTTCTTTAGATTTGTACATTTATCTTCCATGGTGTACCATATGCCAGGAGTGTGTTATGTCCAAATTTTGAACTTATATCAGCTTGATTTTACAAATGTTTTAGACAATTATGATGTGTATTTGTTGAGGGCACTGACAACATCATGAATTACACTGTGACACAGTCACAGTGTTGACAATCTCTGTGCCCCATGAAGAAGTGCTATTTTTAACAAGTAAAAAGCAACTTGCATTGTGTGGTCTCTTCTTTGGGTTAACAGGTGAGCTAACTCAGTGACCAGCTTGCCTGCCCTTGGCCTGAGAAATGGATGTTCTTCTTTTCCTGCCTAGGTGAAGAAGCTTGCTTTAGTCAAAGCCTTGGTTGCTTTTCCAGAATTCTAGATTTCAAGTATTCTAGATGAAGTGAGGAAAGCCTACAACTGAATTTCTTACTAGTTTGTATTAGAAGTTTACCAATCTTATAGCCAGGACCAAAAGGGAGATTATAAATACCTATTTTGAGGTATTAGAAGGAAAGAGGTCTGGATTCATGCCATTGTCCTAATCCTCTAATGTCTGAAATGTTTGAGTTCTTCCCTTTGCACTAAGATGTCTAACAAGTTAAATCAATTGCTTTGAGTAGCATTTGACCAGAGTTTCCAATCATTTAATAAAGAAACTTAACCTAATGTGGAAAGATGAATCCCTACTTTCTGATGAGTACATTCTAATCAAGAAATCTAACCATATTGCAAATGAGATTATTTTCTTTTAATAAGTGTACTTCCGAGGTCTTTTTGAACAAATTAATTCCTGAAAAATCTTTGGTGTGTTTCTGCTTCTATGCATGGATCATACATTTCTTCCCATAGGGTATCCTAACTTAAATTCATCAACAATTCATGCATTCATTTGTTCTGCATCTTTATTACATGTTCTGAACTGTTAAGATATTGGAAGTTTGGCAAAGAGCAAAAATGACATCTTGGTACTCAGGAAATCGATACTCCTATGGGAAAAAGACTGTGAAGAAATGATGCTGCGGTTTATTGCCGCACAACATAAAATTGGTGTGTTAGTTAAAGTGTGGTCATGTTGTGTCATATCAAGCCATGATTTTCCCTAGAGTTCCATGAGATCTTTGTCTCCATGGCAATATTTTGAGAAAATGAATGTCCATCATGGCTCACTCATGTGACTTCTTACAGAAATAGACATTTAAGTCAGATACTGGATGTATAGGTATTCTAAGTACTTCATATTTTGCACATATCACTTTTTTCCAGAAAGTTTATCCATCAAGTAACTAGTATTTTTACATGGCTTCACAAAAAGCACTCCAAAGTTCAAAACTGAAAAGCCTTCTTAGGGCTCAACCCAGGACCTGGTCACCTTTTATGCCAAATCTAATCATTAAATGAAAGATAGACTCACAAAGTAAGCCCATATTTTAAGAACAGAATTGCATAAGGTAGTTAATCTAGAATCATAGGCTATTGGGGGCAAATTCAGGGATAAAGTGGAAGTGTGTGTGTGTGTGTGTGTGTGTGTGTGTGTGTGTGTGTTTCAAGTACAATAGAGAAAGAGAAGACAGTCAAGAGCAATCTATAGTGTTGGAGCACAGTAGTAACATATGATGACCAAAGAAAGCCTCCTAGAGTTAAGGCTTGCTAGTCAAGTAAACAGCTTAGACAGGTGAGCAAATCTTACCGTGACCTTGGGAAATAATTGAACAAACACAGAGGGTGCTCAGTGCAAAATCCCTTAGATGGAAGCTT